AATTGTCGAGGCTGGCCTCCAACTTGCGGTCCTCCTGCCTCAGCCTCCCTAATTGCTAGGATTACAGATATTAGCCACTGAGCCTGGCAAAGGCGGGGAGTTTTGGGGGTTGGGAAGGCAGGATGACTGGCGGCCCAGGCTTCTGAGATTTGCTCAGAAATCAGGCCAAGGGCATATCACCTTTCCCTGTGGAGGAAGATTCTGAGGATACCACTGGGCATGTTGCTAGGGATGCTCTCCATGGGCTGTTGAGGGTCTTGGATGAGACTGTGGCTCAGTCAGATTTTTGATGCTGTGACTCAAGGACCCACCAGCACAACTGCAGAGGGGGACGGTGGACGTGGGGCCCAGGGTGTCCACAGACGGCGGCTCCACTCCTGGCCGAGGGGAGGCAGGACATCATGGAGGAAGAGTGTGGGGAGGGAGCAGCTCCCATGGGGACCAGGGAGCAGGGACTCCACTCTCCAGGGACAAAGAGAGACCCCAAGCCACACCCCTAGGGCCACCTCCTCCTCCACACCCCACCTGCCACCAGGGGCCACCAGAGGACCCCCAGGGAGCCATTCCCTGCTGGGTTCAGGCCTCACACCCCTCACTCCTCCTCTGGACCTTCTTGTGTCACCTCCCAGGGGGGCTCTGGGGACACCCCACAGCCACAGCAGGACAGATCACAATCAAAGAAGAGCATTTGTATCAGGGCACGAGTAGCCAGTAAATTCTTGGGAGTCCAAGGAGGAGGGAAGCCAGTGCCCACCTGTCCTCCCAGCAGCTCGGGAGGCTGAGGCAGGAGGATCGCAAGGTGGAGGCCAGCCTCAGCCACTTAGACCTGAACACTTCATTTAGGACCTGGCACCAGCTAATCAGCCTTTCTCTTGGGTTTTATGTCCTCCGTAAAATAGGGGTGACTGTCCCCATCTCTCAAGGCCCGTGAGGCTGAGTGGGGTGTTCTTCATTCCAGAATCTACAACATCTGCTACCACAGTACCAAGCTCAGGGAGGTGATGGTCAGAGACTTGCTACCTTCGTCGGCCATGATCAAAGACTTGAGCCAAGAGTTTGGGCTTCCCATTGCTCCACAGGACCTCATGGATCAGAAGCCACCTACCATGTCCCCTCAGCCTGTCCCCAATCTTGAAGGATCCCAAAGGCAGGTCTCCACCCTCAATGCCAAGATCCTTGCCCACCAGGAGAAGTACCTGCAGTGGCGGAACAACATGCTCCTGGCGACGAGAGAGAAGCACCTGATCCAGGTGGGCCTCCTCCTGCCTCCACATCCGGCCTCCCGACCACCAGGGCTGTCTCCACCTGCTGGAGAGATTTTTCTTTTGGTTCTGGGGATGGAACCCAGGGGTGCTTGACCCCTGAGCCCCGTCCCCAGCCCTTTTTCTATTTTATTTAGAGACAGGGTCTCCCTGAGTTGCTCAGGGCTTTGCTAAGTGGCTGAGGCTGGCCTCCACCTTGCGATCCTCCTGCCTCAGCCTCCGGAGCCAGTGTTTTGAAACTAGGTTGGGTTTTCAACCACCGAGCCATATCCCCAACCCAATTTTCTTCTCTCTCAACTGCTTGGATTTCCTAGGCACGGTGTAGACTCCAGATCCTTTTGGGAAGCATGGCTATCCTAGTGGTTTGAGGACTGCCATTGATAATAGGAAATATCTCTGCTGTGATTTAGGTCTTCTCTCCCTCAGCCATTCCTGTGGCATATAAGTATCAGACCTCTTTTTGAGAAAATAATCCTGTTCATATATTGAGTTTTAAAAATTTCTGTGTTGTCACTAGAATATAGAAATATAATGAATTTTTATTATTCATCTTGTATCCTGCAACCTTTTGAAATTGGGTCATCTGTATTAATCGGTTTTCTGTTGCTATAACAAATCGCCGGAGGCTGGGAAACTATATAAAGAAAATAGGTTCGGTTAGATTAATTTTGGAGGAGGAAAGTCAAAATCTGGATGGCCCCGCTAGTTTGGCCTCTGCCAAGGGCCTCCTTAGCCGCATCACCACAGGGCAGATGGCATCACAGGGAGGGATCAGATGGCAAGATGGGCAGCCACAGAGGAGGGAGGGATCAGTCTTGATCTCCTCCTAACCACTCGTGTGTGGCTCCCCGACAGGATTCTTGGGATCCAGTGTGATGACATTTCATCATGTGCATACGGCACGCACTGATCACCCCCTTCAGCAATCACTATTTTACGTTCAGGTCAATTTTCTTTTTTAAACATATGGTGGAGCACATGCCCTATACCTGTCTGTCCATGTTTAGCGCTTATTTCACTTGACACGTTGTCTTCCAGGTTCATCCATTTGATGGCCAAATCACAGGATTTCATTCTTGATGGCTGAGTAATATTCCATCATGTGTGTGTGTATCAGCCTAAGTACCCAGTGACAAATGAATTGATAAAGAAAATGTGTGTCTGTGTGCACACTCCTGTCATCCCAGTGACTCAAGAGGCTGAGGCAGGAGGATCTCAAGTGGGAGGCCAGCCTCAGCAACTTAGTGAGGCCCTAAGCAACTCAGTGAGACCCTGTTTCTAAATAAAATATAATAAATACACACACACCCCCTTTTCTTTATCCCTGCGTCTGTCAGTGGGTTCCTAGGTTGATTCTTTAGTAAGTGTGAATAGGTCCATAACACACATGGGGTGTGGGGTACCTCTTTGGTGAGCTGATTTCACTTCTTTTGGAGACATACCCTCTGTGGCTGCCCATCTCGCCATCTGATCCCTCCCTCGTGAAGGTATTACCCCTGCGATGCCATCTGCCCTGTGGTGATGCGGCTAAGGAGGCCCTTGGCAGAGGCCAAACTAGCGGGGCCATCCAGATTGGACTTTCGTCCTCCAAAATGAATCTAACTGAACCTATTTTCTTTATATAGTTTCCCAGCCTCCGGTGATTTGTTATAGCAACAGAAAACAGATTAATACATGGTAGATCTATTTTTAGTTTTCTGAGGAATCAGATGAATCATTATGGTTGTATTATTGATTTACACGCCTGATAGCAGTGAACAAGTTCCTTTCTCACCACATCTGAACATTTGTTATTATTATTTTTTTAAATAACAGCCATTCGAATTGGGGTGAAATGATGGTCTCATTGTAGTTTTGATCTGCATCTCCCTGGTGGCTAATGATATTGACCATGTTTTAATATATTTCTCAACCATTTCACCTCCTCCTTCTCCTCTTTCTTCTTCTTCTTCTTCTTATTATTATTATTTAGTACTGGGACTAAATTATTTATTACTGAACTACATCTTCAACCTTTAATTTTTGAAAAGAATTTTGAGACAGGGTCTCACTGAGCTTCGCAGGCTGATCTGAACTTGCGGTCCTCCAGCCTGAGCCTCCTGAGTTGCTGGGATGACAGGCGCATGCCCAGTTACATTTCTTGTTTTAAAAAAAAGTATCCATTCAGATCCTTTGCCCATTTTTCAATTGGATTTTTTTGGGGGGAGGATACTGGACAGTGTACCCAGAGGATCTTAACTCCTGAGCCACATCCCCAGCCCCTGTTTTTGTTATTGTTAATATTTTATTTAGAGACAAGAGTCTTGCTGAGTTGCTTGGGGCCTCGCTAAGTTACCGAGGCTGGCCTCCACCTTGCGATCCTCCTGTCTCAGCCTCCTGAGTCACTGAGATTTCAGTTGTGTGCAATGCACCTGGTCTTTTTGGTTGTTCTTTAAGTATACCTTTATGAATGAACACATCTCAGTTTGTTGTACGTCTTTGTTCGGTTTTCAGTGGTTGCTTTGGACAGTTTTTTCATTGTTTTCTTTTTTCTCCTTTCAGGGCTAGGATCAAGCCCAGGGTTTCCTGGGTAAGTGATCCGCCATTGAGCCACATCCTTGGCGCGAGGACTGAGTTCTCAGGAGGATGGATTTTCTGAGCTCCTTATTCCATTCACCCTATGAGTCCTACTTTCTTCCTGCTCAACTGCGAATTTTATTCACGTCTTTATTGCTCCAGATTGTTGGAGTCTATTTTATCTTTTTTATTTTATCTATTTTATCCTTTGCTTTTACTTTGTGATTTTCCTTTCCGAAGGATAAGAATGGCTCCCAATTCTTGCAGGTATAAGTTCTGCCTTTTCTTCTGTCACTTGGGCCACAGATTGGACTGTTTATGGGTCCACATCCCCACTCCTCTCTCCACCCCAAACTCCACCACTTTGTAGAATCAAGGGCTGCAGAGAAGTCTGATACCTTCCTGATTTGTTTCTCCTTTCAGCTAAATAAACCATTTGTTTTTAGAGCTCTCCACCTCTAGGTGGGGCTTAAAAAAAAATCCTATAAAGCCAGGCACCGTGGCGCACGCCTGTCATCCCAGCAGCTCAGGAGGCTGAGGCAGGAGGATCGCAAGGTGGAGGCCAGCCTCAGCCACTGAGCCACTCAGCGAGACCCTGTCTCTCAATAAAATAGAAAAAGGGCTGGGGACGGGGCTCAGGGGTTAAGCTCCCCTGGATTTATCCCCCCAAATTCTTTAAAAGTGTTTTTTTTCTTCCTCTCTCCATCTTTACCCCCTTCTTACTTGCTGGTCTCTCCCACCCAGTTCTGCTCCGTCTTCCGGTTTACCAACCTCATCTTCCTCTGTGACCATTAGGGTAGTTGGCAATTTATAGCTCTAAGTTGTACCAATCATTTTCCAGAAATTATCACCTTCATGATTGGTAGAGTGCTTGCCTGGCATGCTCAGGCCCTGAGTTCAATCCCCAGCACCACAAAAAAACAACAAAGACACTGAGGCTGGGAGGTAGCTTGGTGGTGAACTGCCTGCCTAGTGTACGTCAGGGCCTCCCTTCCCGGCATTTGAATTATTTCTTATCTTTTGCTTTTTAAAAATTTTTTTGGGGTTACTGGGGATTGAACCCAAGGGCACTTTAGCATTGAGCTACATCCCAGCTCCCCCCGTTTTTAATATCTTGTTTTGAGACAGTTATAAGTGGCTGAGGCTGGCCTCTAACTTGCGATCCTCCTCCCTCAGCCTCCGGAGTCTGTGTACTACGGCGCCCTGTGATAGTCTGCTACTTAAATGATATGATTGCAACTACCTTAACATGTCTTTGTCTCAAAATATTTCCTTGATTTTTTTGGTGGCTTTGACATTTCCATTGCCAACCCAACAAGTGGCAAGTATCTCCTGGTTTCTGATTCGTCTTTCCACTTTCTTAATATGGGGTCTTTTATTTTTTTAGATGGACACAATATCTTTATTTTTATGTGGTGCTGAGAATTGAACCCAGGGCCTCACACATGCCAGGCGAGTGCTCTACCACTGAGCCCCAGCCCCATATTCCAACTCTCCATCCATCTGGGATTTATTGATTTTTGCATGAGGTTAGAAATCGTAACATCTCTTCCATTCAGATCACTCTCGATCAACCAGTCATCCTTCATCCCGATCTTCTGTACCTCAGTCCAGTCAGGCCAAGTTGCGATCTGTGTGAGTCTATGGATGGCCGTTTGGGGTCTCCATTGAAATCCCATTTATGATGTTATCATTTCCTTCAAAGCACCAACAACTTGATTTTTGATTTCCATATTATACATCTTCTATTTTTTTGATTCCTGATTTTATTTATTTATTGGAACCAGCGATTGATTTAAATTTAAACTGAGCCACATCCCCAGCCGTTTTCACTAACTTGCTGAGGCTGGCCTCCAACTTGTGATCCTCCTGCCTCAGCCTCCGGAGCCTCTAGGATGACAGGCGTGTGCCACCGAACCCAGCTAAAGTGCTTTTCTTTTTCTGACTTCTTCAAATGCGTGTTTACCTCATTGCTTTTTTGGGAATTCAACTGAACAGACACATTTTGACTATCAACTTCTGAATAATGAGTCCCACAAGTTTATTTCCTTAATTTCCACTTTCATTCCTTCTTTGATCTCTGGGTCATCTAAGAATATTGTAGACTTTCCAAATGCTTAAGGAACTTTTAAAAAATATATATATTTTAGTTGTTGATGGACCTTTATTTTATTCATTTGTATGTGGTGCTGAGAACCGAACCCAGCGTGTCACATATGCTAGGCAAGCGCTCTGCCACTGAGCCACAACCCCAGTCCCTTAAGGAATTTTTAATTCTCATTTCTTTTGATGATTGAGTTCTACCTTAATTTTGTTGGCATCAGTGAGTATTTTTTGTATTCTTGGTCCTTTGTTGAGATTGGCTTCCTGGCTTCGTCGGCCCGCTTTAGCAAATATTTCAATGTACTTGGGAAAAAAATGTGCATCCAGGAATTAAATTTAGGATCCTTCTATCTTGCCAATTTGATCATTTTAAAACTCTAAAAGGCCTTTTTCAATTCTCAGTAATGCTTTTTAGAAGTACCAATACAGTAAAATGCCCAAATCCAAGGTGTAGAGTTGCTCATTTTTATCTATCCGTGGAACCATGATTCAAATCAGAATTCTAGAATGTTCCATCACCCCCCAAAGCATCATGCACCTTAGCGGTTAACCACTCTTCTGAATTCCATGACTATTCAATAGTTATACTTGTTCACGGGGACTGAACCAGGGCTGTTCTACCATGGAGCTACATTCCCAGTCCTTTTTATTTTCTAAGACAGGGTCTCAGTACGTTGCTGAGGCTGGCCTTGAACTTGCAATCCTCCTGCCTCAGCCTCCCAAATGGCTGGGATTACAATCCCGGGCCACTATGCCTGGCTACTCTGATTTTTGAGTGGACGTCATTACTTCCATCTTTATCTTCTACACTAGATTGTCTTATTTATTTATTTTTTAAGTCCAGGGTTTTCTGGGATCCTAAATTGATTTTCCATTCTGTCCACGACATAATTCATCCATCTCCGTTGAGTATTTTTATTTTGGGGTACCAGGGATTGAACTCAGGGGGCCATTGGCCCCTGACCCACAGGCCTATTTTGTATTTATTTAGAGACAGAGAATCACTGAGTTGCTTAGGGCCTTGCTAAATTGATGAGGCTGGCCTCCAACTCATGATCCTCCTGCCTCAGCCTCCTGAGCCATTGGGATTATGGGTATGCAGCATCACGCCTGGCTGTAAGTACTTTTATACACCAGTATTTTTTCCTTAAAGTCCCTTCTGTTTCAAATTGCTAGTACCTTTTCTCTTTTAAATTTTGGTGAGCTCTGTCCCTTGCCACAGGGCCTCCTTAGACAGACGGGCTCTTCTCTGGTGTGTGTCCATCACAGTTGGTCCTGGTCCTGGTCCTCTGCATTCTTCCTCGTATCCCAGCCCTCCGCGGAACCTTCTGGTTTCCCCCCTGTGCCCAGGTGACCTGTGTCGCTGCTCTTTTCATTTACACAAGGAGTCCCTGGGCCACCTTAGTTCCCTCAGCGTCCTCTGCTGGGGCACTGAGTCCTGTGTCCTCTGGGGCCTGCTGAGAATGCAGCTCACGTGCACCGAGCACTTGACCCTCCGAGGTGACCGCTGTCTAGGAGGCCAGCCCTGGTTAAGTCACAATGTCCCCCACCCACACCCTGAAAGCCTCTCACTCAGCATGTGCGTCCCACCTGGTGACCTCGGGCCAGTTTCTGGTCCTGGGAATTCCAGTTTGGACAGTGGCAGGTTGAACCAGGTGTTCCCGTGTCGTGGTTCTGAGATGAGGACACAGCACACTCAGGAACCAACCGATCTCCCTGCCCACCAGGTGCCAGCCAGGGGTGAGGGTCACCTGCGGTGGCTCCTGACTCTGGGGAACTTCTTCTCCTTTAGAAAAACATCCTGAAGGCCTTCCAGGCCACCAAGAGGCCTCCTGTCCCCAAGGCCAAGATGATGCGAATCTCGACTCTGCTGGACAAGGGTGTCCACAACTACAGTGTCATGACCTTCAACTCCGCCGTGCTTGCCAAGAAGGAACTGTACCAAGAGATGGCCAAGGTGTGTGACAGTCCCCAGTGAGACCATGGCGGTTGGCTAATCCCCTGACCCTTTCCTCTCTGACCACAGGTCAGCGGGCGACTTAGGTGTGCAGACAAAAGCCAGTTAGTGGAACAAGAAATGGGGTCAGGTGCTGGGAGAACATGGTGTCACACTAGATGTGAAGGCTCAGCGCATGCTCCGATCCATGGCTGAGAACCACCGTAGGGTCCTTGGCTCTGTTGATGGCTTTGGTGTGACCACTTATGGAAGGCGTTTGGCACCTGGAAGGAAATGCGTTGGTTCAGGTCTCAGCACCCACTACATGTAGGTAGCAATTTCATTTGTTAAAGGGGACAGTAAATATGGCCTCTACAGGGTCAGGAGCTGTCATACCCTTAGCTGTTTCCAGTGTCCAACGGGACTCCTAATGGCCACTCAGCCACATCCAAGATGGCACCCGAGTCCTCTCTCCAGCCCGCCTGCCTCTGCCACATCCAAGTTGGCGCGGCTCTTCTCTCTGCCACATTCAAGATGGCACCCGAGTCCTCTCTCTAGCCCTCCTATCTCTGCCACATCCAAGATGGCGCGGCTCTTCTCCCCAGCCCGCCTGCCTCTGCCACATCCAAGATGGCGCGGCTCTTCTCCCCAGCCCGCCTGCCTCTGCCACATCCAAGATGGCGCGACTCTTCTTCTCAGCCTCCCTGCCTCTCTTTCCTAGGAGCAAGGGAGGAGGTTCACGTACTCACAGAACTACCTGTCCGCCATTGTGGAGCCTCAGGACTCGCAGGAAGAGAAGAAGCAAGCCCAGGAGAAATCCCGCCAGGCCTGGCTCACGGTCACTGGGTTCCAAGTGACAGGTGTCCATGGTGACATCCTCCATCAGGATTTCCCACTGCCAGCCATCGGGGAGTTCCATGAGGTTTGTGAGAGGAGCAGGCTGTGGGTGGGCCTCCACCATCATCTCCAGAGGGGCCTCCTTCCTCTGAACCTCCTTGTCCCCCCAACTCAGGAGTGGCAGGAACACGAGGTGCTCAATCGCCTGCTGTACCCCATGTTGGATCGGGGCCGGTGGAGCTGGGACCGGCGCCACCTGGACTTTGAGCTGTACAAGAGGCCACCGCCTTTCCTGGAGGTGCCCCCTCCTCCCACCCGGAAGCCCGCTGCAGGTAACTGGGGAGACCGTGCCCAGCTGGTAGGCAGGCGGGGGGGACCCTGGCCCTTGGTCGCATCTTGAGCACCATCTGTTTGGTTCCAGGTGTCCACCTAGAGTTCCCAGGCTAGGCCTCCTGGTACAGAAGGGTCTCAGGCTATCCCAAGGGCTGGAACTCAGCTGTGGATTCCAGACCCAGGTGTGACACCAAATGTGAGGTAAAGCCCCCCTGCTTTCCAGTGTCCCCCCAGCTCCCAGATGCTGCTGGACCTCCCTCTGTGGGGAAGAGAGGGAAAGAGCAGGGGACTCGCTCCACCAGTCTCCCCAAGTCCTTCATCTCGTTTCTGGATTTTTTTTGGGGGTATGTGTGTGCCAGGAATTGAACTCACAGGCCCTCCACCACGGAGCCCCGTCCCCAGCCCTACTTTGTGTTTTATTGAGAGACAGGGTCTCGCTGAGTTGTTCAGGGCCTCACTTTGGGTGAGGCTGGCCTCTACCTTGCGATCCTCCTGCCTCGGCCTCCAGAGCCACTGGGATGACAGGCCTGCGCCCCCCGTGCCTGGCCTCCCCATCAATGAAAGGCATCACTGCAACACAGAACCCACATTTGTTGGTTGGCAGAGACAGAAGTTTGTTTCAGGAGGGAGAGAGGAGTTGATCGAGCCACAAGTTGGCCAGAAAAAGTTCCTCTGGGGAGCTAGCTCAACAAGCCTGAAACACAAGAGCTCTGAGCAGGAAGGCCACTATCTCCTGGTGCCTGGACTTGGCTCCTTCCCTCCCAGGTAAGCCCTGGGCCTTCGGAGATTGGAGAAGAGGAGAGCCGCCCAGTGTGGGAACACGAGGCCTGTCCGCGTGGCTCCAGGGCCAGCCTTCCCAGGTAAAAAAGGCAACTGAGAAATGGAGGCTGGAGCGGCCTCCCCTGCTGCATCAAGTTCAAGAAACATCAGAACCTGTGAAGTGAGGAGGGGACCTGGACTGTGGCTATGCCTCTGAAGCCCCACGGGGTGAGCAGAGAACTAACTGGCACCACCAACTGGAGCCCTCAGGACCCAGCAGTGGGGGGGTGTCTACGGCCCTTTCCAAGTGTCTCCTGTTCAAAGGAACTCTGTGCAGCCTCCTGTCCCTGTGCACTCTCCGTTTTGTGCCCAAGGTCTCTTTGCCATCACTAAATACAAGCTGGGAAAACAAAACTGAACAAGAAATTTAGGTTTCAGCAGGGCGCGGTGGTGCAGGCCTGTCATCCCAGCGGCTTGGGAGGCTGAGGCAGGAGGATTGCAAGGTGGAGGCCAGCCTCAGCAATTTAGCAAGGCCTGACTGAGCAACTCAGGGAGACCCTGTCTCTCAATAAAATAGAAAAACGGCTGGGGACGGGGCTCAGGGGTTAAGTGAGTTTGAGTTTAATCCCTGGTACCAAAGTCACAAGACTTTATTAAGTCACCCAAACTGGAAGAACGCCCCAGCTTGGTCCACGGAGCTCTGGGCTCTCTGCATTTCCCCTCTTCTTGGGGACCACCCATCCTCACGGCACAGGGAGACTTGGAGCCCCAAGTCACCCAGGGGTGACAGGAGCTTAAAGGCCACCAGGTGAAGCATGGGACCCTGCGTGGATTGCAGGCACTACCAGACGGCAGCCGAGGGAAACGCAGAGGCCTGTTGAGGCCACCTACAGACGCCCCTCACCCTGAGGAAGGGAGGCCGGTCCTTGCAAAGACACTGAGAAGCCCTGCGTGGGCACGAGGTCCCGCTGCGGCCACCAGAAGGCCCCAAGAGAAGGGACACTTGTGGAGCCCTAAGTTCAGGGAGCAGGCCCCGACCTCTGGTATTCAGGGCCCTCTTCCAATGGGGTGAGGACAAAGGGCTCAGAAGACACTGCCAAAGGGTGTCTCTCAGGACGTTGCTGGTGTCCCTTAAAGGCCGGCTCTGAAGAACGAGGTGACTCAAGGCCAGAGGGGACACCGACTGTGACATTTATATTCCTTTCTGTTGAACACTCCCCAGCGTGTGCCTCCTACACGGGGGTGACCAGGGTGCTGTTTCCCAGCTGTGGCTTGACCCTGTGGCTTGGTAGCAATGGCTGCCCGAGCCTCAGATGTCCTAGAGCTTCCTGTCACCAGCATGTCCCCAAGCACCAGCACAGTGGCGACACTGGTGACAGCGATTCTCTTCCCTGCGTCTCTGCTCAGGAGCTGCGCTGTGGCCTGCTGCAGGACCTGCAGTCACCTTCTGAAAAGAGGGTCGTGTCTCGTGTGAGCTGAGGCCCGGGGGCAGGGACACTGTCCTAGTGTCAGGACGTCCTCTCCAGAGGGTGGGCGCAGATGTAGGTGCGCTGCTCCAGGATCTCCCTGGACACTTTCTTAATCTGCTCATCCAGGTTCTCTGGAGCATCTGGGAGGGAAGAGAGGGACAGGGTGACCCTTCTGCCCTTCACCCCTGAGCCCCGTCCCCAGCCCTTTTTCTATTTTATTGAGAGACAGGGTCTCCCTGAGTTGTTTGGGGCCTTGCTTTGGCGGAGGCTGGCCTCCACCTTGCGATCCTCCTGCCTCAGCCTCCTGAGCTGCTGGGGTGACAGGTGTGGGCCACCGTGCTTGGCTTATCCTATTTCCAATGCCCAGACTCTAGGGGGCTAGGAGTGGGGAGAGGATCCTAATCAGGAAATGGCCAAATGGAGGAGAAACCGTTTCATCCACTTTCTGTCCCGTGTGGCAGCCCTGTGGCGTGCCTGGCCAGCCCCCAGCACCAGGAACCACGAGATGTCACCCGCCAGTGTCCTCGCCATCGACCACACACCTGGGCTCGGCACTGATGCCGATCCAGAGCCTGTGGCCAACAGGACTGTGAGGGTCGGAGGAGACCCTGAGTGACACGTTCCACGCTGTGGCCCAGGGGGAGGGAGGTGGCCAGGCACCCAGGGCAGCAGCTATGTCCTCGTGACCTCCTCTGGGCAGGTGCCAGGACAGGGCTGGGCACTGGGGCGGGTGTGTCTCAGCTGGTCTCTAGATGGCAGGAGGCCATGGGGGCAGACCAGGCCTGGAACCCGTCCTGTCCCCACTTACCCTTGTCCAGCTGCGACAGGCTGAAGAGGTTCTGGACGTAGGCCTCCGTGCAGAACATGTTGGCCAAGAGGATCTGTGGGGGCCAGAGTCACAGAGGACGGCTGCTCAGGCCCTGGAGCTGACCCAGCCCTTGGCCCAGCTGGGCCCACAGGCCCGGCTCAGGACTTCAGTGACCCCTAGCCACTGTGTCCCCTAGCGCGGGCTCCTCAGCCTCTGAGATGTACGGCCACCCCGCTGACCATTCTGCCTGTGCCCTGGGCCAGGGTGCACGTGGCACGCAGGTGGACCGGTCACTTCGCCCCTTTCTTCTCTCAGGTAGGGGACCAAAGACGAAGCGTGGCCGGTTTCCTGGGCGCCAAGAACCGTCCTGTGGCCACAGTATGGCAAACCTGCCCAGACTCCCGAGTGGCACCCTGGTGCGCCTCAGAACCTCGGCCTCTTCCAGTGACCGCCTGCACGCGCCATGGGCCCCGGCTTACCCGGCCCTCCTGTCCCAGAAGTCCCTGGTGGGGCTGTGTCCCCCGGGCCTGGGCTTCCCCAGCCACCGGCTTCATTAAAGTGCAGCGGGACCAAAGGCCTGGCTCACAAGTCCCAGCCCTGTGTCTCCCTGCGGCTGCCACCTGCGCGTGATCTGTCCCCAGGACGAGCTGCTGGACTGTCCAGCCTGGCTCGCTGCGTGGGGCCAGGGCGGGCTCACCTCGTGGTCGTGGTTTCGGAGTCCGATGCGGATGGAGCGGCTGGCCCGGGACAGCACGGCCACCATGCCGTACAGGTTGATGAGGACGTTGGCCACCCGCTTCAGCACCAGCTGCTCCTCCACGATCGTCTGCGGACGAGGCTCAGCGTGGAGACCAGCCACCTGGTCCCCTGGCCCTGTCCCCTGGACACACCTCTTTTTTTTGATCCCAGGGATTGAACACAGGGACACTTGACCCCTGAGCCGTGTCCCCAGCCCTTTTATATTTTATTTAGAGACAGGGTCTCGCTGAGTGGCTGAGGCTGGCCTCCACCTTGCAATCCTCCTGCCTCAGCCTCCCTACAAGGTGCCCTGAGAAAACACACCCAGCAGGCGTTCCCAGGGGCAGGCGAAGCCAGCTGACTGCCCCTGTTCAGAGTGACCAAGGTGTCTGTCCCAGGCATAGTCCCAAAGGTGGCCGCTGGCCACCTGGCTGGCTGCGCCCCTGGCCGCCAGGGCCTGCTCACCTTCCCAAAGCGAAGCAGCAGATTCTCCACGGTGCGGCCAAAGTAGTACACGTTCTCCTCGAGTTTGTTGGCACTCTCCTGTGGCCACGGGACAGGGCAAGGCTGGGTGCCCATTCCCCACTGGGCCCCAGTCCTGTCCCACGGGACAGCACACAGCCCAGCGCTCCAGGGCCCACGGGGCACCAGCAGGAACCCAGAGCCCTAGCGCACCCTCCGCATGGGACCCTGAGGCTGGGCGTCCCCACGCGGGTCCACTTGCTGGGCCTACTCACCCCGAGGCTGGGGTGGACCACCCCGAGGTTGCCCGTCAGCCCCAGGTCCACGGTGCGGCCCAGAGAGTCCCGAATCCTCCGGCCAACGGTCTCCATGATGGTGGTCACGTTGCCACGTTTCAGTTCACTGCAGGGAGTTCAAGGTCTCAGGACCTGGGCCCCGACACTGGCCCCTGCTGCCACCAACACAGCCCCCCGCGCACCCCAGGGCCCTGTCGCCCACCCCAGCAAGACACGCAGGGCTCCTGGGCCCAGGGCGACTCGGGGCCTGCAAAGGGCAGCTGGGCCCCTCATGGGGCCTGTGCCTGTGGCCAGCGAAGGAGGCTGCCCCTGGGACCAGGGCAAGATGGGGCAGGAGAGGTGACAGCAGAGGAACTGGCCTCTTGCTGGCCTTGGGGACAGTCTCTCTCCTCAGTTTCTGAAATGCTGGCCACCCCCGGGGTGGTGACGGGGCTGCCTGTTGGAGGTGGATGGTGCTTGGGGACCGAGGGCTGTGTGACCCTAGGGCAGGCCTCTGTCCCCCGGCTGGAGGACCAGCCTCGGCCTGGCTTCCTGGGCCCCACAAGGCTGTCCCAGGACTGGGCATCCCTTCCCACTGCTCTCTGCTGGCCAGGCAGGGCCCTAGAGGCCACCGTGGGAATGTCACCTACTGGATCCTCTCGGTCAGGATGCGGCCGGCGTGCTGCAGGCCCGTGAGGGCGATGAACATCCGGAGAATCTCGTTGGTCCCCTGTGGCCAGTGGGGTGGAGGTCAGCAGCTGGGCCAGGAGGTGGCCCAGCAGGGCTCCGGGGTTGGCAGGCCAGGAAGTGCCCACTGCCTGCAGCAGCGGCTTCCACCTCGGTGGCACCCCGAGCAGGGGACAGGAGGCAGGTGCGCATGGCAGACAGTTGGCATGACCTCTCGAGGGGACCAGGGTCACTAGACTCTAGTGACCCAGCTCTCCCGGGTGCCGGGGGCACAGCAAGAACTGGTCACAAGGGACACAAGTCCGCTGGCTCTGGGCTGAGGCCAGACTCCTCAGGGAGGCTGCTGACGGCTGGGTGCCACCTTTGTGCCCAGGTCCCTCCTGGCGGGCCCAGCCCTGGCCTGGGGTCTCCCGGGCCCTGGGAGAGTCCCTGGATCCTCCCACCTGCGACCCTCGACAGCTCCAGACCTGGGTCATCATGTCCCCACTGTCCCTGACCCTTTCCCAAGGCCACCATCTGAGCCAGGCCACGGGGGGAGGTGTGGCTGGTGCTTCTAGAAAGATCTCCTCGCTCCCTCTCGCTCTCTCCACCACCCGGGCTCGCCCTGGAGGTCCTGGGTGGGCCTGGCACCTTCTATTTCCCCGTTTCTTGGCCCAAACTGCCCCTCGCTAACCCTCCTAAGGCCACCTTGTCCCCAAGGGCCAGGGGCACCTGCTTCACAGGACCCAGCTCCCCGGGAGGACGCGTCTTCCACTGCACGGGGACCACGCACCCTCCTCGGGCATCCGGGGCCACCCAGGTTGTCTCTGGCCTGGCCCTGGCCCTGTCTGGTGGTCACTAAGCTGACCCTAGAGCTGTGACCGGAGCCCAGGTCTCCACAAAGTGTCTGTCCCACACTGTGAGCCCGAGGGAGCTTGGTGAAGACCCACAGAGAGGTCCCAAGGGACCTTGGGCTCAGGTCTGAGAGGCTGCTCGGCCTCCCCCAGCCTCTACCCTGGGCCTCGCGGAGCTAGGAGGTTCCATGGGGGGACACGGCCTGTCCTGGGCCCTGGGCTATGGCTGGGCCCTGGAGAGCTCTTCCCAGGTCCAAGGACGCAGCAAGGGGGGACGGGGCACAAGCAGGGCTCCCAGGGACATGGCTGGACGGGTCTCACCTCGAAGATGAGGAGGATGCGGGCGTCGCGCAGCATGCGCTCGTAGGGGTAGTCCTTCATGTACCCCGAGCCCCCCAGGATCTGCAGCGCCTCGCTGACGCACTGCCAGGCGCTCTCGGAGCTGAACACCTAGAACAGACCAGGGTGACGTCAGCACAGGGGCTCCTGGGGACTCCCGAGTCCCTTCACGAGGACATGGGCCTGGGGGAGCTGTGGCTGGGGAGGGCTGGGGGCTCTGTTGGCAGAACTGGGACGTGAGGGCGAGACTGACCGCAGGAGGAAGTCGCCAGGTGACCATAGGCAAGGCCTTCAGCAAGTCCTGGGACACAGTGACCAGCTCCCTCCAGGACCTCCCGTGCCTCTTCAGCCTTCCTCCACCCCTTCCCCTCCTGGTCGCCTCCCGGGCTTTCAAGAACCACACAGGGCCGGGTGCTGGGTCATACGCCTATAAGCTCAGCGCTCAGGAGGCTGAGGCAGGAGGATCGCAAGGTGGAGGCCAGCCTCCACCACTTAGGAAGTCTCTGAGCTACTCAGCGAGACTCTGTCTCTAAATAAAATAGAAAAAGGGCTGGGGACGGCGGGGCTCAGTGGGTTCAATCCCCAGGATCCTCCACACCCTAAAAAAGAGCTCAATTAATTCCAGAGACCAGGGCCTTGGACCTGCTGGGCCACCCGCCCAGCCTGCCCGCCATCCGCCATCTTGTGTATTAGAGCTAAAAATGACACTCTCCAAACAAGAGCATCGGGAAACTCGGGGATCCACCTTATGGAACATTCCAGAAAAAACATTCTGATACCCCACCAAGAAGCCCAGGAGCTCAAAATAAAAGACGCCCTTCTCAGGAGAGCCCGGCTGCTGTGTTATGTACCCTCACGTGAGGTCATGACGGCTGTGGCTCCAGGCCACCAAGGGCCAGCGCGAGGTCAGCACCCCGGGACACTGCTGCAGCTGTGGCCGCACCCTAGGGCCGCCCTCCTTACCCCTGGATAGCTTCCCACAGGGCCACAGCATCAGGGTGGACCCAGGACGAGCTGACCTATAGACTACGGGGAGAAACAAAGTGGGGGTGACACTGTGGGGTGCAGGGAAGGTAGCTCTTGGGCCAGCTCTGGGCCGTGACAGGGTTACCTTCACCATGGCCGCCTCCACGGAGCAGTCAGGCAGCTCGGGCTGGTCCAGCATGCCCGCCGTGAGGTAGGCCATGCTTTCCATGACGTAAGCCTTCTGAGCCATCAGGGCGAACTTCTCCTGGAAGGTTCAGGAAGACACAATCAGGAAGCCATCTGAGGGTGGGCTGGGGCGCAGGGTGCTGGCCTAGAAAGGGCGAGGCCCTGGGTTCCATCCTCAGCACCACCAAAAAAAAAGATGCCATCTGAGCTAGGTGCAGTGACGCGCACCTGTCATCCCAGTAGCTTGGGAGGCTGAGGCAGGAGGATTGCAAGGTGGAGGCCAGCCTCAGCCACTTAGTGAGGCCCTAAGCTACTCAGTGAGACCCTGTCTCTCAATAAAATATAAAAAAAAGCGGGGGACAGGGCTCCATGATGGAAAAGGTTTCAATCCCTGGTTAAACCCACAAAGAAGGTGGCCAGGCCAGAGGCCCTGCTGTCCAGGGGAGCCACGCCCAGCCTCACCTGTCTTCTCTCCAAATCACCCACAAGACACCGCAGTACGGAGACAGCAACGGGACACACTTTCTACACCCACCAGGTGACACCACAGCCCCTGGTACCTGAATCAATCCAAATTCACTGAGACGCTTGTTGAACTGCTTCCGCGTACAGGCGTAGTCAGCGGTCAGTTCTGAGAAGGGGTGTAAAAACGAAGCAGAGCATTCCTGAGTAGCCAAAAATGATTCCCAAAGGTCCCTGCTGTCACCTTCCAACACCCAGCAGGAACTCGCAGAGAAGTGTGGGCTGCCAGACGCCCTGGCCCACGCCCGTCACCCCAGCCACTCAGGAGGCTGAGGCAGGAGGATCGCAAAGTGGAGGCCAGCCTCAGCCACTTAGCGAGGCCTTGAGCAACTCAGCGAGACCCTGTCTCTAAATAAAATAGAAAAAGGACTGGGGACGGGGCTCAGGGGTTGAGTGACCCTGGGTTCCATCCCTGGCGCCCCCTACCAAAAAATAAATAACAAAAGAATCAAATCGGCTGACACCCCATGTCCCAAAATCAGAGTCCCACTTCCAGCCTCTGGGTCAGGGCAGGACACTGCTTCTCCTGGGCCTGCAGGCAGCGGGCACAGGGGACCGACATGGGTTTTAGTCTTGGCCCTGCTCATGTGGGAGCCTGGCCAAGCCCCACCTAACACTGACTCCCCCAAGTGGCTGTGATGAGGTGACCAGGGGGTGCCCAGCAGATGCCAGTTCTCTGAAAGCTCTCACTGAGCCGGACTCAGGGCCTCCATCTGTGTCCCAGTGACTCAGGAGGCTGGGGCAGGAGGATGGCAGGTTTGAGGCCAGCCTCAGCCACTGAGTGAGGCCCTGTCTCGAGTCCCCTGGGCCAGGTGATCTCCAGGTGTCCACATCGGGACAAGCACACGGGCCCAGGCAGGTCGCTGGCCAACAGAAGAGGAGGGACACGGGGGACGCGGAGGCTCCTAGGCCAGAGTGGGGACAGCAGGGCCAGACAGTGCCACCGAGGGTCCCGGCCCTGACTTACCTACCAATCAGTTTCTTGAGCATCCCGGCCACCGCGCTGCCCATGCTGAAGCGCCCGCTGTTGAGGATGTTCATGGCCACCTGGGGGGAGCAGGCAGTGAGGGACGAGGGGACAGATCGCTCCCACCTGTTTCCCAAAGAGGGTTCTTCTTTTTATGGGGGGGGGACCCTCGACCCCTGAGCCCCGTCCCCAGCCCGATTTTGTGTTTTATTTAGAGACAGGGTCTCGCTGAGTGGCTCAGGGCCTCATTTTTGCTGAGGCTGGCCTCCACCTTGAGATCCTCCTGCCTCAGCCTCCCGAGTAGCTGGGATGACAGGCTGGGCCACCGTGCCTGGCCCCAGCACTATGATTTAAAAACAAAAGTTGCCACGGTGATTGGGGAAAAATGACTGCTTTAATATGCAGAGGAAAAGGGACTTCTGACATTGTTCTTGGTTCCTAGTGTGCTTGCTGCCCTCAGCCTGGACAGGAAACAGAATGGCACACTCCAGTGAATCCAGAGGTCTCAGTGTGACCAAAGGCCAAGGTGACAGGGAGCGGCTGCTGGGAGGGCTCTTCCCTCTTGGGTGGTCAAAAGGTTATATCAATAGAAGCAGCAGCCAAGTGACAGGGAGGGACTGTTGAAAAAATGGACTGAAGAGCGTAGCTGTAAACATAGGAGGAGGCCGGGGCGGGGGCACACCAGCAGCTCAGGAGGCTGAGGCAGGAGGATCGCAAGGTGGAGGCCAGCCTCAGCCACTTAACACGCCCCTCAGCAACTCAGCGAGACCCTGTCTCTAAATAAAATATAGAAGAGAGTTGGGATGGGCCTCAGGGGTCGAGGGCCCCTGGGTTCAATCCCTGGGTCCCCTCCAAAAACCACCCGCTACTGTGTGATTCCAGAGTCAGAAGGGACGGCTGCGCAGTGTCGTGAGGACACTGAAGACAACAGACGTGTGTGTCCTACGGTGGCCAATTTGAGGTCATGGGAATTGTTTCTTAATAAAAGAAGAAATCCCAACAGTCGGGGCTGGAATTCCAGATTGAGGGCTGTGTGTCTGCTTCTCAGTGGGGACAGGAGTCCCTTCCCTTTCTCAGGATGAGGGAGGCCTTGTGAGGAAGGAAGGCCAGGCCTAAGCAAAGACTCCTTTATCTGGGTTTGACTGGTCACCCATTTTTTTTTTTGGTACCAGGGATTGAACCCAGGGTCACTTGACCCCTGAGCCCCGTCCCCAGCCCTATTTATATTTTATTCAGAGACAGGGTCTCGCTGAGTTGCTTATGGCCTCACCAAGTGGCTGAGGCTGGCCTCCACCTTGCGATCCTCCTGCCTCAGCCTCCTGAGCCGCTGGGATGACAGGCGTGGGCCACTGGGCCCAGGTCGATTCATGCTGCTGACGTGCCAGAGAGTCACACCCAGCCACAGGTCAAGCATAGTCTGGTCTGCCAGGAGCAGGGACAGGACAGAAAGTGGGACCACCACGTGGGGCTCAGCCAGCTCCTCACCTTAAAGCCACCTCCAACTTCTCCAAGGACATTTTCCACGGGGACCTTGGTGTTTTCAAAATGGACTTCACAAGCTGAAATATGAAATGGAAGACTTTAGTGGACAAATGCGAACCTCTGTCCCCCGGATCCCAGGCAGGTGCTGCACTCATTCTGTTATGGTCTGGATCAATCAACACACTTGATAAGGTATTGATTATAGATCAAGAAACATGGATTAGTAAAATAGTAAGTAGAGCCGCAGTGACTCCATCTTTGTTTTTAAGAATCATGAAAAATTTGAGGCTGGCGTGGTGGCTCAGTGGCAGAGCGCTTGCCTACATGTAGGGGGCACTGGGTTCGATCCTCAGCACCACAGAAATGTCAAGTGAAGATATTGTGTCCACCTAAAACTAAGAAATACACATTAAAAAAAAAATTTTTGTTTTTCTGTGCTTCATCCGTCTGCAAACGTACTTGGACCCAGGATGTGGGGTCCAACTTGGTCTGTTCACTGCTTTTCTGAGTCCTTAATCCCTGGACCGTGGATCACAATCCCAGTGGATCAGGAGGCTGAGGCAGGAGGATCCCAAGTTGGAGGCCAGCCTCAGCAACTCAGCAAGGCCCTAGGCTACTCAGGGAGACCCTGTCTCTAAATAAAATACAGAATCGCATGCAATTCGCAGACTCCATAGGATGTGGTTTTCTTCCTTAAATACTGGATCACAGACAGCCCTGCGCGCTTCTGTGACAGGCCGCTGCGAGTGGCAGAAGTGTCCCTGGCAATAAGCTCTCTAACTCGTTTCAGATTCGGGTGTCCCCTGAGTGGTGTCCCTGTGCCATTCAGCACGTGCAGGGACAGGACGGCGCAGAGCTCCTGTCTTGGTGGAGCTCGGGTGTTGGTCAGGGAGATGAAACTAGAAACTGCTGGTCCCTGTGGGTGGGACGCTGCCTCCCTGCCAGGCTGTCTTCAGAGAGCAGGTGGCGGAGGGGACTGGGCGGTGGCTCAGGGGCGGAGCACTTGCCCAGTGTGTGAGGCACTGGGGTCGATTCTCAGCACCGCATAGAAACAAATAAATAAAGGTCCATCGATAACTAATAAAGATCTTTAAACAAATTCTTAACTGGTGCTTTATACTTCACACTGGGACTCCTGGGCCACAGCTGGACATGCGGGTGACATGATTTGCTTCATCTGGGACCTTCCCTCTTCTCCTCCTCCTCCTCCCTCCCCTGAGCCACTTGCTCTACTTGACGGATCTCCCTTCTATTATTATTATTATCATTATTTAAGTTGCTGCATCATCCATTACATACATAAAAGCAGGACTCAGGCTGGGCGCGGTGGCCCACGCCTGTCATTCCAGCAGCTCGGGAGGCTGAGGCAGGAGGATCACAAGGTGGAGGCCAGCCTCAGCCACTTAGCGAGGCCCTGTCTTTAAATATTTTTAAAAAGGGCTGGGGACAGGGCTCTGTGGTCAAACTCCCGTGGTGAGCCTCAGTGGCCCTTCATCTCTCTCCAGCTTCCACAGGGGAAAACAAACTGCACCCTGCAACTTCCTGAGCCCAAAGCCAAGGTCCAGACAAGCTGAGGCCGAGAGCAGCCCCTTCCTCTGCCGCCCGGTTCTGCACCGCCTGTCCCCGGCCCCACAGCGACTGTGCAGAGGGCTCCGGTGTAACTCAGGCTCCCTGGGCCCCAGGCAGGGATAACAGGTAGGCTTGGGAGGGCAGGAGGGGACGCGAGAGGACACAGGGTCCAGCCACGAATGAGGGGGTGGCCTGTCCTAGGATTTTACCTACGACACTTTTTTTTCCTTTTGGTACCAGAGATTGAACCCAGGAGCACTCGATCCCTGAGCCCCATCCCCAGCCCCATTTTGTATTTTATTTAGAGACAGGGTCTCCCTGAGCTGCTCAGGGCCTCACTGTGGCTGAGGCTGGCCTCCACCTTGTGATCCTCCTGCCTCAGCCTCTCGACTCACTAGAATCACAGGTATGTGCTTCCGTGCCTGGTGCCTGGCTCCATAAGGATTTCAATCTTATTCTACCTGGATACTTGGACAGAGCAGAGGGCCAGACACACACTGTCACTTTCACACACACACAGAGACACCCACACGACTTACTGTTGGAGCCCCGGATGCCTAATTTATCCTCCGGTTTCCCGTTAGTGACGCCACCAAAGTCCCTTTCCACTATGAAAGCTGTCATCTTGTCTTTTACTGAGCCATCGGAATCGACCACCTCAGTCTTGGCAAACACAGTGAAGATGTTGGCCAGTCCCCCGTTGGTGATCCAGACCTGAGGACAGAGAGCAAGGGGTCCTCAGAGACTCCTCTTGGCACACCGCCTATGAGGCCCCAACCGAAGAACTTATTTTCATCTTTTTTTGGCCCCAGGGATTGAACCCAGGGGTGCTTGACCCCGGAGCCCCGTCCCCAGCCTTTTTTATCTTTTATTTAGAAACAGGGTCTTGCTGAGTTGCTGAGGCTGGCCTCCGCTTTGTGATCCTCCCGCCTCAGCCTCCACCTTGCGATCCTCCTGCCTCAGCCTCCTGAGCTGCTGGGATGACAGGCGTGTGCTTTGCTTCCATCTTGATTCAAGAGGCATGAGCTAATTTGGGAAATCTGAATGGCGACTAGATAGTAAGAAAGCGATAACGGTATCCCAGCTCTCTGTCTCTTAGGGGTCTGTGTGTGAACTGTGACAGATGCCGTCAAGAGGCCATCTTGATGGAAGAGACGCAGCCAGCTGTGAAAGGGGACCTGATGGCCTGTGCTCAGTCAAGGACAGGCACCGTCCCAGACCTACAGATGCATGACTTCTGGCTCCGGGCGCAGCTGGGAGTCCAGCATCAGGGACACTGTGGCCAGGCCTGGCTCTGTCACCAGAGGGACAGAGGACCCGTGCAGGCCACTTGAGGACTGAGCACCGCACCTGCTGGGTAGTCACCAGAGGGGCACAGACCTGGGCACAGGAAGAGGCCCAGCGGTGACAGTGAAGGTGGCCACCGAGACCTGACAGGGCGGGGGGGTGAGGCTGTACCTTGGAGCCATTGAGGATGTAGTGCTTCTTGTCTTCACTTAACGTGGCCCTGGTCTGGATGGAGGCGGCGTCACTCCCGCTGCAGAGAGAGAGAGACGTGGGTGAGACGTGGGGAGAAGAGCCCTGGAAATGGAGGGTCTTAGGAGTCAAGTCCACAGGAGGCGACACAGCCTCTAAACACAGGGTCAGACCACACACAGGGTCAGCTTTAAAGCTGCGTGTGGTGGTGCACGCCTGTCGTCCCAGCGGCTCGGGAGGCTGAGGCAGGAGGATCGTAAGGTGGAGGCCAGCCTCAGCCACTCAGCGAGGCCCTGAGCAACTCAGCAAGATCCTGTCTCTGGATGACCGTTCCAGGTTCCCCAGTGACGGGACGCAGCATTAGGCATGGCTCAGTCCCAAGACCTCAACTTGAGCCCTGTCCCCATCTAGCTGTGTGACATCCCCCACGGAGCCTCCAACTCCTAAGCTGAAGATGGAGACCCACCGCGCGCGCTGCGTGTCCTGAAAGGTGCTTGGAGGCCCGAGGGCCAAGGGGACTGTCAGTCACAACACTGGGGTGACAGAGGCTGATGGGTCTCGTTGGGAATGAGAAATTAGGCAGAGGTAAGAGAAGTGGCCAGGGAGCAGCTCCAAGTCTCTGCGAGGCCCCAGGTGGGGAGGGAATGAGGTCAGCCACTCCTGATAACAGCCCTCTGTCCCCAGGAGCCCTGGACATGGCCCGTGGCTGTGGGAGTCGGCTCGGGGGAGGCCGACCTGGCTGGCTCCGTGAGGCAGAAGGCGGCCATGTGCTCCCCTGACGCCAGTCTGGGCAGGTACTTGGCCTTCTGTTCTTCGGTGCCAACCAAGATGATCCCCTGAAAGAAACATTTTTTATTTGTTCCTTTTGGCTACAAGATGGCAGTGTGCACTCTGGGACATGTCCCACCCACACGGGGCGTGACGTCCCACTCCTGTGGCTGGACCTGCTGTGGGGTGTCCCTGGTCGTGGGTTCCTCTGTGAACGTGGGAAAGGGACGTCCATTCACTCCCCTGTCTCTCCCAGTCCCTCCCCTCCCTTCCCT